ACATGGAAATAATAATAAATCTTATTTATATTTTAATAATAACGATTATGATTATAAATATAAGTTAAATTGAAAAGACTAGAATGTAGCTTAACTTACAGTGGTTCTTCCTGACAAAAGTCTGGAAATCGTACTCGCAGAGCTCCGACCTGATAGCTACTACTTTTAGATCACTCAAGGGCCTCAGGGCTTAGCTGTAGACTGAAAACCAAGGGAAAAATTAGGCCAAAGTAGGTAAAAACTCGAGAGAGTGAGAGAGAGAAAGAGAGAGAGAGAGAGAGACTTGTAGGGGTATGGGGAACGAATGAGGGACGAAAGGCTTTATATAAGCTCAAAATCCAAAAGTGCGCCACGATCCGGCGTCCTTTTTCGACTGTCTTTATATTGTTGGACTCATATTAGCGAGATTTTCGACTCTCATTTAGATTGTTTCAGCTAACAATCAACCGATCTAAAATTCGATTTTTGTGTCCGCATTGCTGCGCTGAAACTTCGAAAAATCATAACTTCCTCATATGAAGTCAGATTTGGACGTTCTTTATATGCATGCTCTCAGTTTTACGATTACTACGACTTTTGTTTAGAGTGATTAGGCTAATAATCAACCTATCAAAAATTCACTTTTTACAACACACTCTACCATATCGGGTCGAACGCGAAACTTCAACGGGTCACAAATTCTTCGTTCTAAGCCCGATTTGAGCGTTCCTTATATCCCCTAAATCCTCATCACGACTACTTAGAATTTTATCAAGGTTATTTAGTCTAATTTTTATTCTATTTAAGACGTATATTTTATTCCTATTTTATCATATCGCTTTAAGCATGTATACTACATATAACTACACATAGAACACATAATACTCAATAATTCTCTTTATTTTACTTCATATAAAGGTTACAATTGTTGACCATTATAAGTATATCATATTATTAATGCCTAGCGAGAAACACGAGCGTTACAGAACCCGTATTAGATCTCCTATTTTCCCTGACATAACTCCACAACTTCGTATAATGTCGTTTAAACTTCCTTCAATCTCATTCTTAGCGTGGGACGTGGCTCTTTGACCTTGAGATACATTAACTTTTATATTGGACCTTTCAATTATTATGTTTTGCAATATTTGATTGACAAATTGATTACCAATCCACGCATATGACACGATGGAGCCCAATTTGAAATAGTTAGATTAAAGGACTTTATCTAAAACGATTCTTCACCATCTGTCAAACTTGTAAAAAGCCTAAAAGGACAACAAAAACCATCATTTCCCTTCCCACGTCTAAGTTTAAGCCTTTTGTAGTCATTTTTCTCAAACCTCAACTGATAATCATTATAAACTCATAGTTACAGAAACATTGTTTTGACTGTTTTGACTCTCAAACTTCATACCCAAAACATTGTGTAGGGTCATATCTTGGGTAAATTATGAGTTTTAGACCATCAAACTCTCCATCTTCTTCATTCAAACTTACTGTTTCAGACTCATTTTCATTAGTATCAGACTCCTATTCTTAAATTTGTGGGGCCATTACGTTGAGAGAAAGACCATTCAATAAAGGATTTCTTGACATTTTCCAAAGAAATTTCATCTTCCTTTGAATCATCCGACAATGAATCATAATCTAACATACCATCTTAATCTGCCTGAATATCTACATTATGAGCCTCATCTATTTTTTCTTCATAAATCTAGTCATTGAGGTTTCAGAATAGTGATCAACATATATAACAATTATTTTACCACGTTCACATCCTTTCTCAATAAATGACACATAATCTCTTCGCACTTTAACATTTGTAACTTATCAGTTAGCGAAAACTTCGGAACATAATAATACACATGTTTGCAATGAGACATTGTCCATCTCTTAAGAAAACCAAGAGAATAAAAAAATCTAGAGGCAAAATCAATCACTTATAGTTACGAAAACCCTATTACAACAAGTTAGGGTTTTAGCCCAAACCCTTATTCTTGGTTAATGTCAATGTGAAGAACTTATTTGAGCAGATCATAAGATCATTGAAAAAAATACAAATTCATAAGAAATTATTACTTTAGATTTTCATGTTGAACCAGTGAAGAAAACAAACTTAGTAACTCCAAAATAGGAACTAAGTAACCATGCAAAAAATACAAACTCATAAAAAACACTTGAAGAAATCAAGATACAAACTCATAAGAAACCCTTATAGAAAACCGAACTTTGTAACCCGAAAATACAAATAAAGGGCAAGGATTTTGATGGAATACGTACCTCAATATTAGTGGAATCGCACCACCTGAAGGAATCGCAACAATCGTTAGTCTTTTTCTTAAATGTTTTTTATGGAATGCGATCGTCAAGGAGGGTAACGAGGGAATTGTATGAATGAGAGTTAAGGAGATGGGAAACAAATGCAATACGTTTGATATTTTGGTTTTTAGTATTTTTTTCGTATAACATGGGTTTAGGAAATGATTTGGATTATTCTTTTTCTCATTTTCTAACCGGGAGTCCACATGGGTTATGTAGCCAGCTATTCCTGGTTAATTTTGTATTCAATGGTACTCTAAACCAAAATAAAAATTTAATTTGTTAATTGGATACAATTAAAAGTTTAATATAAATAACATCTTTTGTATTATTGTTTATGAGTTTAAGGCATTTTCCCTTAGATAAAAATAATAATGGCCAATGAGATATGAATTTTGTTAGTAATAATTTAGACAAAATTGCAAAAATGGTATATATGGTTGTTAAAAACATATGGTTTTAGTCTGAAAACGTTTGGTGGTGCATCATTGGTTTAATTTTGGATCTTTTTAGTGATTTTGATCCTATAAAATTGAAAAATACTATTATATTCATTTATATGTTTTTTATATTTATATTAATGCTTTTAATTAAAAAATAACAGAAGGCCCACCCACCCCATCCCTCTCTCTCTCTCTCTCTCTATATATATATATATATATATATATATATATATATATATATATATATANNNTGAGGTTTATCTTTGATGAACACTCAAGAACATCTTCATGTAATCAATAACAGTCAAAAACATCTTCTGGGTTTGTTCTTCAAAACACATAAACCATCAGCACCGACTGCCACCATCGACTTCGACCACCGTTTGTCACCACCACCTTCAACCACCTTTATCTCCACCTAGATTTTTTCTGCCATCTTCATCTCCACCAGAAAATCATTCCAGAAATGAAGATCATACAAAAATCTGGGCTTGTTATTGAGTTCGACCTAGAAATTTGAGTTCCTTTAGATTTGTTTGATTCTTGCAAGAAGTGGAAATCTTAATGCTCAACTTTATGAAGATCAAATCAATCTGTGGAACTAGACTTCCTAATATGAAGATCGAACCCTAATCTGCTTAAATATGTGTAAGCGTACATTCTGGAAGATCGAATGATGATCTCTATATCTGTTGATTTCTTCACGATTAGGTTTTGAGATCTAAAGAGTTTCGATAACCATTGAACGATCCGACCTCCGACCACCATTTGTTTGACGGAAATGGTAGAGTTTCAATAACACATTAAACGAGCTTACTAGAGGGGTTCACACACCCAAAACTCGACCCAGTTTTCGACGAGATTTTTTCACTCAGCTATGATGCCATCCAGAAGCCTTACTTCAAATATTTTTGATTTTCACAAAACGGAAAGAAATCAATACCCGATATTTTCCTCAATGTGAGGGTTTTTTTGGCAATGAAGTGCATAAAATGGAGAGAGAGAGAGAGAGAGAGAGAGAGAGAGAGAGAGAGAGAGAGAGAGAGAGAGAGAGAGAG